CACTGACCTAGAAGCCAAACCTAGTTTAGGCCCCTGGAGCACAATCATGGCTCCCTACCCTGGCTCATTTTCCCGAGTCAGTAATTACGCCTAGGACATACATCTTTAATAAGTCAATTTAATGTTGTTGTTGAACTCACAACATCCTTTGAAATGAAAGTCGTCAGGGAAACCACAAAATCAGGGGCAGAAGAGGGTCACTGTGCCGGTGGGACAAGAGCATTGACAGCATGACACTGTATCTACCAGTGGTGAAGGGACAAACAGTACTTGACTAAGCCTTTTCCTACAGTGACTTGGTGTATTCAGGCCTCAAAGCAACCCAATGACACGGGACTGATTAATACTATTCTACAGATGAGGAAATCAGGTTAAGTAATTTGCCCAAGGTCATACAGCTAGTGTCAGCAATGTGGTAATGTTAAGCCTCTACTCTGCAGTATCATCTCAGTTCCAACGTAAAGAATTATAGATTTCATCAGGGCAGGTGACACACGCTGTAATCCCAGCAACTCAGGGGCTGAGGCAGGACCATGGAAAGTTCAAGGCCAGCATCAGCAACTTAGAAGAGACCCTATTCAAAAAAAAAAAAAAAAAAAGAACTGGGAATGTAGTTCAGTAGTAAAGCACCCTGGGTTCAATTCCCTGTACTACAAAAAAAAAAAGAAAAAGAAAGAAAAGAAAAAAATCACTGATTGTACAAGTTTTTTTTTTTTTTGGCATTTCATAGAATTAAAAAAAAATAGAAAAGCAGTTTGTACTTTTGCAACAACCAAATTCTCCATCCCAAGAACTATATTTATCATCAAGCTTTTAAAATTATTGCAGTTTGGGGAGTCTGGGGGCAGAGCTCAATGCAGAGCACATGCTCTGCAAGTTCAATTTAATTCCCACCACACACGTACGTGCACACGCATGCACACATTTTTTTTTTTTTTTTAAAGCAAGCAGTCAGCCAGGCTCAGTGGCCCATATCTGTAAACCCAGCAACTCAGGAGCCTGAGGCAGGATTGTCTCAAGCCATTTAGACCCCGTCTCAAAATAAAAAATAAAAAGGGCTGGAAATGTAGCTCAGTGGTAAAGCACCATGGGCTCAATCCCCACCCAGTACCAAGGGAAAAAAAGCGAGTGGTCAATGTAACTAATGCTCCCTTCTGTGGAAGAAAATCTGCATCCTCTTTCCCAGTAGCACAACCAAAAGAGAGTGGGAGAGCCAGGAGTCTAGGATTCATGCTAACAGGATTCCTCAAAAGAAGCTGCCTCACCGGGCTGAGGATGTAGCTGAGTGGAGGAAGACTTGCTGAGCATGCACAAGGCCCTGGGTTCCATCACCAGCTGATACACAAAAAAGGAAAAGCCACTCACACTTGTCCAAGTGGCGTGCTCTTGGCCTTGAAAGTTTCCCAAGCATGTTTCATTAGGGGCTGCCCCAGCCAGCAACTTGCCCTTTCTCTTCCCCATCCATTCAAGCCCCAATCAGCTGCCTAGACATTACATTTTCATACAAGAAAATGGAGGACTAGGTTTTCCTTCCTTTAATCGAGAAAATTCCATACCACTCAATCCAATATACTTCAACTCTCATAGCAGGTATTCAAAACTATCAAGTGTACTGCAAGAACTTGACAAATCACTGGTTAAAACAAACCATTCCTCCATGAATTATACCAATGTTTTCCCAGAATACAACTGATTTACTATTGCTAAACATGTGATTTGCCCAAAATTGCTGGCAGGGGAGACCTAGAATGTTTAAGTGATGTTCAGTCAGGATATGCTATAGATTCATATCTTGCATCACCAAAAAATTTAAGTAAAAATAATTACTTAATTAAAAATTAACCAAATGAATGGGCACTTACACCCGGTGTGCGGTAGCATTCCTAGAGAACACCCTGCCCCCGTGAGGCACGGCTCACTCAGGCAGGCAGCATTGACCAAGTGACAGCACCAAGGAAAGCTGAGTGTCAGCGATCGCTCCCACGCGGTGCTCTACACTGAACTCATCCACCCGGCTCACTTTCCCTGCTAAAGCAACCACCCACCAGCATGTCCTGACCTGGATTCCACCAGGCAGGTGACACAAGCCTGGAACCCCAGCAACTCAACCTTCTATGTAAGAAGTTCAAACAGCAGCTTTTTAGCTAGTGTCAGAAGTTCCCAGAAGGTTTCCTCTGGCCGGTGAGACAAGGCAGTGAGGAGGAAGAAGGGGCTGCTGGATGCTGTGTCCCTCCGGACCCTGCGCTCCTTACTGGGGTCACCCTGGGGCACTCACCACGCTGTCCAACTTCCATGTGTACATACATAAGTCATACCCATTATATTTTTTAAAAATTAAGAGGGATGTGGAAAGAGGAAGCACTGTAAAGAGCCCTGGGTTCTGGACCTGGCATGCCCAGTGAACAACCTGGGACTCTGGAGCCAACCCGGGCACCTCCTCGTCTTCATGCCTCATAACAATATCAGACTAACCACCTAAATGCTCTCCAATCACCTGCTATGCCACGCTTCCCTTTCTTTTTATCTGGAAAAAAAAAAAAAAGGCAGGGGCAACTGGATAGGCAGAAAAGTAACCCAAAAGCCAAGTGTCTCTAACCCCAGAACATTTTGTGTGTGTGTGGTGCTGGAGATCAAACCCAAGGCCTGCAGCATGCCAGGCAAGCATGGTGAGCTAAACCCCCAGCCACCTAGGACACCACTAAAACAAAACCCAAAGCCTTCCCAGAGTCAGAACAGCACCCAGTCCCACAGTAGTGCCCAGGGTGCCCCTTGTGGTAAAAATCCCAGTGGGCAGACAATGGCTGCAGTCACCAGGCACCTCGATGTTTTTTAGAAATTTTAGGATTAACATTGCCAGAAAGCCACAACGCGGCAGAGCTGTGGAGGCAAGCCAGCATCTCTATACTGTGTTACCAAGTGTGACCTTGGCAAAATCCTAAGGGCCAGTCAGCAAGTCAGGGCAAGGCCATTAGTAATTTACCCAAGTGCTAGTAATTTACCCAAGTGCTGGGGGGGGGGGGTCCCTTGGTTAACCACATACACTGGTTCAACGTTCCCACATATGTTAGAAATGGATTTTACTTTTCCAAAGAAACTAGTCCCTTTGGGCTGATCCCAGGGAATCAGAATTCTTAAGGGTCTTATGAAGTGACTCGATGCAAACAGGAACAATGGTGTTAATACTGTAAAAATAAAAGAAAAAATGGAGACTAACATTAGTTTACTAACTATACAGATCATAGAATAGCAGCTGTATAAGCTTCATTGAGAACTTCATTCAGTGACTGTAAAACCCAACAGCTTTATGAGCCAGATCAGCTTTGATAGTCTACAAATAAAACAAATTTAAGAGCCTGGTGTAAGGCCAAGACAGATCCTTCAGAGCTGCTGAGGAAAACATCTTATATACTGATCCACAATGACATTTACTTCTTCAGTTTTCCAGCAACTGCCATCCACTTTATTACTGTTTAATAAATCTGAGTGGCTGAATGATTGTTAAAATAGAAACTGGCTCCTAAATTATACAGTTACCAAGAAACAGAAACTGAGGTTGGGGAAGCTGATCAAGTTTATTTTCTGGTCCTTCAGGATAGGACCTGAGATCCTTTGAAGAGATTAAAATCTGGCTCCCAGACAATCAAAATACGGAATGTCTTCTTCACCTCTTTTTTTTTTAAACTCGGTGCTGGGGATCAAATGAAGGTTTCCCGCAGGCTAAACAAGAACTCTGCCACTGAGTTTCACCTCTAGCCTTTTTTTTCTTTGGAGACAAGGTCTTGCTAAATTGCCCAGGGTGAGCCCCAGGTATAATGATGCACACTTGTAATCCCAATGGCTCTGGAGGTTGAGGCAGGAGGATCGCAAATTCAAAGCCAGCCTCAGCAATTTAGGAAGGCCCTAAGCAACTTAGCAAGATCTTGTCTCTAAATAAAATATTAAAAAGGACTGAGGATGTGGGCTCAGTGGTTAAGAACCCCTGAGTTCAATCCCCGGTACCAAAAAATAAAATAAATTAAAAATAAATTGCCCAGGCTGGCATCGAACTTGCTATCCCCCTGCCTCCACCGCTGAAGTAGCTGGGATTTCAGGCGTGGGCCACCACGCCCAATAAACTTACAAATTTCATAGTTCTCACCTCAAGCATTTCTCTATCACGATGATTTAAATTAGGTTAAGATGGGAAGGCAAGAGTTTGGGAACAAAAAGAAGAGTCACAGTGATAAAGAGCCGGGCAGCTGGGTCCCTCCTACTACCAGAAAACAATGCAGCTGATCCCCAGGGGCTGCCTGCACAACCTGCAGCGGACTTAACAATCTTGAATGCTATTGTGGGACAATAGTCAGGTGCAACAGTCTCTGTGCACAACTTCTCACATGCTAACATCTTCCCCAGAATGAAGGCCCCTGCTAAAACTGGTCAATGCCGTGGAAGACATTTTAAAGGTGGTGAAATAAGAACTCCAGGGGAAAATAGTCGAGATGGCAAAAAAAAAAAACCTTACAGCCTTCAGAGTAAATGCAGCTGCAAAGATAAACATCAACGTGGATGACAATGTGCTTCCTGTAATTGCAATGCCCATACAAAACCTGAGACAAGGCCAAGGGCACTGCTGCGTCCTGCAGAACAGGGCTTGAGTCCATGGCGATCACGCGCACCAGCCCAGGCACAACACTGCTGCGGGAGGGGTCACCCCGTAAGACCCACCCCACAGGAGGAAGCGCAGCCTCAGGAGAGGCCTGCAGCCGCCCCAAGTGCGCAGGCACCCACTGGAGCCCCGAGGGAGACGCTACTTCCCCCGCCCCACTCGCCCCCACCCAGGCTCCTTCGCCGCCTCGGGAGCTGCCCCAAGCAGGTACCGGCCCACGCAAGCGCCTGCGCAGTGCGCGCCCCTCGTCACCCCGGACCCGGGGAGCAGAGCAGCGAGTCTCGAGCGGTCCGCTCCGGGGAGAGGAGGCATTGCGGGGGACCCTGTCCCCAGGCTGAGGCTCCAGGCTTACCAGTGCCCAGGAGGCTGGCCAGGAACAGGACCGCGTACATGGCGCCGCCTGACTCCGCAGTCTGCAATGCAGAGCGTCAGCTGACCGCGCGAATATAAACCTGCTCCCCGCCCGACGCCGCGCAGTGCGCAGGCGCAAGCCCCGCCCCGGCCCCTGACTCAGCGCGGCGCAGGGCGCCTGCTGGGAGGAAGGAGACGGGAGGGAGAGGAGGGGAAGGGCCGGGGCCCAGGGGACAGGGGTGGTGGAGGATGGAAAAAGAAAAGCCCCATGATTGATCAAGTCAAGGCCAGTCGTTATACACTGTGTATAGCAGAGCCCCCACCCCATCCCCTTCCAATAATCAAAGCCAGGGGCGCGCACATGCTGGGCAAGCGGCACAGACATGTCCCCTGACTCAGCCCCACTACTTCTATGTACAGAAAACTCTGCAGCGCACCTTTAACCCAGTTTAGTGGTGTGTTCTCTAGCCTGTGCTTTTTCCAGCTTTCCAGTGGAGCCACAACTTTGGACACAGGAGCTGCCTCTCTGTCCACGTTTTTTTCTATGACATACTGTTTACGGTTGTTCATCTTCATTTTACAGATGAGAATCAATAGCAAACAGATTAACTGTTTATCCAAGTTCTTACAGTGAAGTTTGCGGGAGTCAGACTCACCCCTTACCCACACACTGTCTCTGCCAATCAATCCAAACTCAGAAACTGCAGAAGAAATGAGGGTTTTATTGGGGATTTTAGGGATTGCCATTTGGGGGACACAGGTTGAGATATGTCTCAGTCGGTGTTCCAAAAAAAGACCGGAAAAATTGGGAGCTTAAATGGGCAAACAGTAAAAAGCGATAAGAATTTCTTTCTAGGTAATAGATATGGGAAATGAAAAGTCCCCCAAAATAATGTGGTTGAGAAAAAAAAGGGAGTATAAAAGAAAGCCAGGCACTGGCAGCTTTCATCTCCCAAGACAGATGTTTTCCCAGTGCTAATTGCAGCAGGATGGAGGTGCCTCATCCCACTAGGGTGATAGCCTTCGAGGGGCACTGACCTTCCTCTCCAAATGCAAAACACAGACCCCTGACCCAAGTGCTCAAATTCCTAAGCACTCAAACTGACCCCCTTGCTGATTGATAAAACAACTCCCAAATTCCTGGGTGCCCAAGAAAACTGATATGCTCACTAGACCACCTCTCAGGATAACCCAGGCCCTTTCTTTGTTTGGGGGCTCATTTTCCACCATGAAAGTGGGTCCCACCGTGGCGGCATCATTTCCTCCCTGCGTTTTCTGTTCCTGCGTGAGACTTACACCAGGGAACTTCTTTTGAAATGGAGAAAAAGCAGGTGCTGTATGATAGGAGCGCATGACTGATAGAAGATTAAGACTAAAATGGATTCGACACAGGAGTCCGATAACCTTGATACGCACCTGGCACCTCTGGGCACAGCGTGATTTCGTGTTGTAACTGCTTACAGTCAGAAGGTCATGAGAGGACCTGTTCCTGGGCAGTAGCTAGAATCTGCCAGTAAAGCCTCTTCCCCTAGTGTCCCCACCACTCCATTTGAAAAGCTCTCTCATTGTTGTTTTGTCATAATTTTATTTTCACAGAATATCGAAAAGATCACTGACTTATCCAAGTCAGGATTCAAAGTCCTGCTCCACCCAGACTTCCTCCTGATTCAGGTTTGACTGGGGTCCCCTGTGCCCTGCTTTTCCCTCTTACCATTTCATATACACAATCACTGTTGTGAGGCTCTGGGTCTCCCCATGACTCACAGAGACTTTTCGCTGTTAAAGGGGGCTTTTTCCAAGGTTCCACCCTGGCTTGTCTATTGAGACGGAGGCGAGTGGAGAAAAGGGACTCAGGAGGAAGATGGAGGAGAACAGGAAATAATGCAGCCGCTGGAGAAAGGAACTAGAAGCAAAGCCAGCATTTGAGAACCCAGCTAAAAAATCAGCCTGGCTGGAAGAGGAAGCAGCCCCATCCCACCCAGCCGGGCCTCCCCTTATTCTGAAACAGAAGGGAAAGTCTGGTTACCCCTCCCACCCTGTCCAACTCTGAGCAGAGGAATGACACTCCCAGCCGCGGAAACCAGTGTCTGCCAACCCCAGGAGAGGAATGAGGGCAACCTCAGTCCATTCAGGCAGGCCCATTTCCGGGTTATCCCAGTGGGGAAGCCGAGGCCTGGAGAGGTGGCAGGGCACACAGCAGATTGGGACAGAATCTCATCTTCTACCTGGGAGAGGAGGCCCTGTGTTCCTCCCCCATCCTGCAACGTGTGTCCCCTCTGAGGAACAAGCCACTGAGCTATCCCTTCTCCTCCTCTGCCACCACCCCACCTGCACCCGCAGCTTCCACTACCTCTGGAGAGCTGGCTAGGGAAGTGTGTGCCCAGGGAGCCAAAGGAAGCAGCTGGGTAGAGCCGGGACAAGTGTTGGTCTCAACTGGATGCCTCAGTGGCCACGTGGAGACTGCTTTAGGCTTCCCAAGGCCCAGCTCAATGGTGAGGCAGAACTCTCCAACAGCTGGTTAAAAGCAAGAGAGGTGGGGCTCAAGGACACACCCCCATCCCACAGCTCCTTGCTGCTAGGCTGCAAGACCCCAAGCCAAAAGGAGGCTTAGGGACCTTCGGATGCAACCCTGTCACTTAAGTGGAGATGCAGAGAGGACAGAGCCTGAACCAGCCAGGCTTACTTTTTCCCCTTCCTCTTTCTTCTCTATCTCTCTCTCTCTCTCTCTCTCTCTGGGGGGGAGGGAGGGTACGGGGCATCTAACCCAGGGCCTTGCAGGTGCTAGGCAAGTGTTCTACCACTGACCTACATCCCCAACTGAAGTCTTTTTTCTTTTCCTTTTTCTGCTACCAGAGATTGAACCCAGGGTGCTTTACCACTAAGTTACATCCCCAGTTCTTGATTTTTCATTTTGAGATAGAGTCTTGCTGTGTTGCTGAGGCTGGCCTCAAACTTGTGATCCTCCTGCCTCAGCCTCCTAAGTTACTGGGGTTACAGGTGTGCACCACCCGGCCCAGCCCTACGCCTCTTTTCTAACAGCCTTCTTAACTAGAAGTATATGCCAGGGTGTTTGAGATGAACTGTTGCTGCCCTTCATTTGCCCACCTGTAACTCTACAATAATGTTCCTTCACACTCTTCTTTCCGACCTCTGTGGCCCTGTGAGGACAGAATTTTAACAAAGAATTATAAAAACAGTAAGTGGACCCAGGCACAGTGGTGCACGCCTGTAATCCCAGTGGCTCAGGAGGCTGAGGCAGAAGGATTGCAAGTTTGAGGCCAGCCTCAGCAATTTAGAGAGGCCCTAAAGCAACTTAGCGAGACCCTGTCCCAAAATAAAATATTTTACAAAGGCTGGGGTTGTGTCTCAGTGATTAAGCGGCCCTGGTTCAATCCCTGATACCAAAAAAAAAAAAGTACCAAGTCAGTAAAATCCTCTTAAAATACTGCCTTATATCTGTGCATGGGCAATAAGAGCTGTGGAGCTATTCAGATCCTTTAGCCTGTAATTCTGTTCCCAGCCACATACCCTCGGGAAGTGTTTTATCCAGAGTGTTCACAGAAGGGTCCTTTGTAACAGTGGACAGACACTGGAAGGATCCCAAGTGCTGAACAATGGCGGATGACTAAGGAAACCCGCGGGTCACACAGCGCTGCTGGAACAGCTTTGAAGTAGGAGGCAGACGCAGCAGGGCGGGTGGACATCGGACTCCAAAAGCAAGTGGGTTCCAAGAAATATGGGCAGAGGGGGAGCCCAGAGTCCCCTCTTCCAGTGCAGGTCTGCCAGACTTCCCAGGGGGGAGAGCAGAGCTGACGGGGAGCATGGGGGTCCGTCCCCGTCCCCCTGACTCCTGCATGGGGGTGGGCGCCCACTCCTGCCCAGGCCTCTGGGAAGCCCGGTGAGGAGAGGAACTGGGAGTGGAGGCAGGAGTCTGGTGACGTGGTGTTAAGCCATCTTGCACTGTTTCAGTCACTCAAATGTCCACGTTACTTTATGATTGCCGAAAAAAAATTATCCATAATATAAAATAATGCAAACTAGAAAAGAAAATCCCCTCCACCTCCACCCTCCTGTGAGCCCAAGGTTTCAAGGAACCGAAAAGGTATTTTTTCCCCAGAAATGTGAGCCGTGCCCGGAGGCAGGTTTCCTGATGACTTCTCACTTTTGCGTCCCAGTTCCGCATGGGGCCCCAAGGTTAGTGCCTGACCTGTACCTGCCAGGTCCTTTGCGTAATTCCCCCAAGGCCTGGAGGACTCTCACCAGATTACTGTTTCTACACCTGAAGGATCCGGGCCAAGGCAGCGCAGGCCACGGTGGTGCGTGCTGGGCCCCAGAGCCTCCCCGTGACCTGGAAGCCTAACCCCAGCCCCCGTGTGTCTCAAACAAAGACAGGCTGTCTCCCACCTGCATCCCTACAGCCCCTATCAATAGGAGCCTGTAATCCCGGCAACTCTGGAGGTTGAGGCAGGAGGATCCAAAGTTCAAGGCCAGCCTCAGCAACTTAGTGAGGCCCTAAGCAACTTAGTGAGGCCCTAAGTAACTTAGCGAGGCCCTGTCTCAAAATAAAAAATAGAAAGGGCTGGGATATGGCTCAGTGGTAAAGCCCCTCAGCCTCTCATTCCTGCATTTTCCTTTTTTTTAGTCTGAGGACCCTCGGTTGTCACTCAAGGCAGTCTCCCAAGGTCACTTGGCAGTCTCCTGGTCAAACAGCCCCCAGCCTCTGATTTCTCCTCCTGTTACCTGGCTGTCCCTGGGCTGCTGGCAAGTGGACAGTGCAGCAGGCTCACGGGCCTCTGTCCTGCCCAGCACCTGTTTAGCGCGGATTGTGGCAGGGGCTGCTACTCTTTCCTAATATCCTCACACCCTGACCCTTGACCTTGATAGTTGGTAATCAAATTCCTACTTCTAGCTGAGCACAGGACCACCTAGGATAAAGACAACACTTCCCGACCTCTCCCCAAGCCACAAGACTTCGTTCTGGTCAATGACATAAAAGAACAAATGTCTGGGGCTGGGGCTGGGGCTCAGTGGTAGAGCGCTCACCTGGCATGTGGAGGGCACTGGGTTCCATCCTCAGCACTGCATAAAAATAAACAAACAAATAAATAAAGGTATTGTGTCCATCTACAACTAAAAAAATATTAA